CTTCACCATACAGAAAGATTACGAGTATAGTTCTCAAATCATAAAGTATATTAAAGATTATTAAGAAATTATGAGAAAAACCACCCAGCTGGTTGTTAAAGGATGAAAAGAAAAGTTTTTTTAAAAAATCAGAGTATTATCACATTCCACTAGGAGTCACTTTTTAAAATCCCATTACTATGACTTCATGGAAAACTTAAAGGGTGGCCAGATATTGATATAAGATTAAATGAAAAAGTAAGGTCAGGACATCAAAGCAAATCAAACTCAAACACAAAAGTATCATTAAGAATACAATGGATTATGTGAGATAATGAAAAGATGGAAATAAAGTATTTGTAGATGGGGAGGGGAGGAGGGGGTGAAGGGAGGGCAGGGGTAAGGGGAAAAAATGAGAATCAAGACTTGTCATGTGGAGGTACAAGATCCCAACAATGAATGTAATTGTACTGTATCCCTAAAATGTACCAATAAACTCAATTAAAGCTGAAAAAAAAAGAATACAATGGATTTAAAAAAACAGTACAATGGATTTTAAAGAACAGTGATCCAAATCTACTCAAAGGTCATATTTTATCTTGGTAGTAAATACTTGAGTCTTCTGCACCCAAACACTACGTTTCTTGCAAGGAAATTTAACAGTCACAAATATGAACTATGGTTACCATCAATATAAACATGAGCTATAATATATATTTGCATATATTCCATATTCTGTATTACATAGAATGTATCTAAGTATAAATTATATAAAAATTCACCAAAATTCACTAAATACACTAAATCAATATTCAGTTCTTCCTTATTAAATGCAACTTAGAAAAAAACAACAAAGATTAAGAAATTACTTAGTGGCATGGGATAGTTAAGTTTGAGCCACTCCACTCAATGAGAACCCCTAACCCTAACCCTAAACCCATACACCCTAAACCTACTACAACAAAGCAAAGAAACAAAGACATAGAACAAACCTACCAAATCAAAACACCCTATTTTAAAAGTAGATAAAATATTTAAAATATCCAACACTGAAAGAAAATCGGTCTAGATAAAAAGGACTAGAGGGTAGAGTTTTACTGTATATAGCTCAGCAACAGAATACCTACTTATGCCTGATTCCTTGGGTTCAATCCCTAGCATGGAAAACTCCTAGCTTTAAGAAAACATGTATCATTATATCACAGAGGCTGAAATGGACTGAAGAGAATACAGAATTGAAAAAAGGAAAACAAAAGTGATAGTGAAAAGTAAAGTAAAGCTAACAAAAACTTTGGCTGTTTATTCTTAAAGAATAAAAAATGAGAATTAAAACTTGAAACATTAACAGATTATAAAGAATCCTAAGAGTAGTATATAAGGAGTTTTCCTTCAATGAATTGCTAAAATAAGTACACTATAGGTGTATTTCACTGGTACAATGCTTGCCTAGCATGCACAAAGCCTTGAGTTTGATCCCCAGGTCACTAACCAATAACAACTGATTAGTAGGTGTCATGTGAAATGTATCTTCAGTAGCTGCAAATTCTTCATTATCTATTATTGGTAGTGAACAAGGCAAGCCTACATGCAGAAAACTGATACCAGCATAGTCGAGTGTGAAGACGAAGGATTAAAATTTCAAGGCTTGTCTGAGGAACTTAGACCATGTCTCAAAACAAGAATGAAGAACAGGGCTGGAAATGTTGCTCATCGCAATGTCTCTAGGTTTGATCTCTTGAACATGCACAAAAAAAAGATACCCTAGTAAAATATATGAACTTATAAGAAAACAAAAGCTATCATGATTAAATCTCAAAAGAGTTAAATTGAAAAAGTCCCCCCTCAAAAAAACTTTATATGATGATTTTACTAAAGAATTCAACCATGCACAAGAACCTGAGTTTGAGCCCCACTACCAAAAACAAACAAACAAACAAACAAATCACCAGTAACTACCAATTTTTCTCTACATTTTTGAGAAATTTAACAATGGAATTTTTTAATTATTACACTGATAGCAAAGCCGAAGACAAATAAAAACTATAGACCAAAATCTCTTAAAACACCAAAAAGAAAAATCAATAAAATTACTAGTAAAGTAAATTCAATATATTAAAATTAATACTTTTTCAAAAGAGGGATTTGGTTCTTGGAATGCAAGGGAAGGTTGAATACACTGGTAAATCATATTAAGAAAATGAAGAGTGAAGTCTCTTTTGATACATAAACTCATGACAAAATAAATGCCATTTCATGACTTTAAAAATCACTCAAGTAAAGAAAAGGAACCTACGAAGGCTAGGGTTTAGCTAACTGGTTCCACCCCCTGCCTCCCAAGTTCAAGGTCCTAAGTTTGATCCCCAGTACCAAATAAATAAATAGTCAAATATGGAAAACTCACAGTAAACATCATTCTCAATTGTGAAATCCTGATTCCCCTCTAAGATAACAACCAATTCAAATGACTACCAATGAATGCTTTTAAAAGGTTGATTCAGTGTGTATTATAGCACAATAAAAATGAAAGCAAATACTAGCGCACAAACTTATTTGCCCTGTTTTGTCTTCTGTTGGCTTAGAAGAGAACACAACAGAAATCAATATGTCTGTCTTTAACTTCTTGTCTAAGTATCATTCCTGGAAACAACCAGAGACTCAGGCAGAAATAGCTAGTTTCCTAGAGCAGGATTTGAAAAAATGAACATGGATACTACTTAATAGACAAAAAGATTAAAATAAGGAAGACTAAGGGATGCTGAATGGACAGATCTACCTAATTAGTATATGTGCTGCTTAAGTGAGCACCACAGTTACCCACGTAAAACTCTAAATTGCCAAATGTGGAACAGTATTGGCAAATTCAAAACTAATATTTATGGGCTGGGCATGGTAGCATACACCTGTGATACCAGCACTTGGGCGGCTGAGGCAGGAGGATGGTGAGGGGGGAGGGTTTGAGGACAGTCCTGGCTACATGGTGAATTCAAGGACACCTTAAACTACATAGTGAAACCTTGTCTCAAAGCAAAAACAAAAAGAGGGATACCTATTTTTTGGGGGGGACCAGGGATTGAACTCAGACCCTTGAGCTTATGAGGCAGGCAGTGGAACCACTGAGTTAAATCCCCAGCAAGAATGATACCTATTAATTTCACCTACAGAATAAAGCAAGTTTCAATTAATATATATTGATAATTGCAGAATTACACGGAAGAAAAAATGTTCTTATATTACAAAAACCTAAGTACAAATAAACACAGAACTAATGAAGTTTTAAACTTACAATCTATTACTCTTATTAGTAACTATTTCAGGCAGAAAACATCAATACAAGTGATATTATTAGAAGATAGTGATACCAAAGTGAATTCATAGTATCTGTCACATAAGATACATTATAACGAACAAAATTTTCATCTCTAGAAAAAGGTCAACAGTATATGCCACCTGATATAAGACCACGAAATCAGTTCTGTACTTTTCATCCTCAAAACTCAAAAGGTAAGCCTCAATCACAAAGATCAGAAAAATTCACAAAGTGCCAATGATGACCAAACAGCCTATAAATTTTTTACAGTATAAAATCATGATTATAAAAATTGAGCATTTGCTATAATCAGGAAGCATATGACAACTACATACCATATGGAAACAAACATTAAATCATGTAGGGAGTCTACGTCTACCATATGTTGTTTTTTGAGACAGGGTCTCCTTATGTAGTTCATACTTGCCTTGAACTATGTAACCCAGGCTGATCTCAAATTTGTGAAGATCTTCCAGCCTTAGCCTCATGAATGCTGGGATCACAGGTATGAACCACTATACCTGGCTATCATGCTTTTAATGCAACATTTGTAAATATAAATTTGAACAAAAATCATGCAAATATTTGTTGCCAACCTCAAAATGGTCTCAAATGCAACCAAAACGAGACAAAAATAGAATAAAGTTTTTCACTTGGGAATATTTCAGATATACCAAAGAAAATTTTAAACTACTATAATTAGAATGTGTACATTAAAAAATAAATACACATTTTCCACAGATGAAAGAATATTCTATTTTTAAAAAGTTAAATTTTATGGGACGGGGATTTAGCTCAATAGCACCATGCCTGCTTCACAAGCACAAGGTCCTGAGTCTTATCCCTGGTACTACCAAAAAAAAAAAGATAAATTTTACCCTTATCAATATTTCTAAGGGCATGAATGAAAAGTAATTTAATTAGAGCTGTCATTAAGACTGTTGAAAAAGCCTGGTATGGTGGCACACACTTGTAATCCCAGCACTCAGGCCTGAAGCCAGAGGATCACTGTGAGTAAGGTCAGCCTGAACTACAGTGAGACGCCGTCTTAAAATTTAAAAAAAAAAAATCAATTAATAGATGGGCATAATGATCTTAGTAATGATGAGCATAGTGGCACGTATCTTTCATCCCAGTTACTCTGAAGGCTGAGAAAAGAAGATCCCGCATTTTAGGCCAGCCTGGTAATTTAGTGCGCTCCTGTCTAAAAATTAAAAGTACAAGGGGATGGGAATTTAGCTCAGGGGTGTCCTAAGTTCGATACACACTACCACCAAAAAAATTAAAAGTGTACAATGCTAGGGTAGTGTGGTGAACATACTAGAACATTCAACGAAACGAACAGCTCGCTGTGGGAAAGGTGCTGTAGGTTTGACACCACTGTGCTAGGATGTAGCTCAGTGATAAAGTGCCAGCATTCAGTTCTCAAAGACAAAAACAAGTAAGAGCAAAACAAACACCAAAATTATCCTCAAACTATGAAGTTTCACACTACATCAAAAAGGCAATGGTGCTCTACTTACCAAAATAATGTATCAAGAATAAAAATTATGATAAATTGTAAAAAAATTAATGAAATGCTCACATAAAAGGATAAACAATCTCCATGTGACTATAAAGAATTGAGTGAACAATCCCAATCACTAAATTAATTAAAAAATGTAAAGTCCACTAGTAGTATCTCATAATAATTTCATTAGAAATAAAGACATACCTTGGCATTTGGATAGGAAGACAAGTCTAAAGAGCTCTATTCTCTCTATTAATCTATTACATTTGTTGCAAGTAAAATTAAAACTGCACTTTCTCCAACTTGAAAAAGAACTGCCAACCTGAGTGAAACAAACGCAAACATAGGGAATATTCTGAAAAAGAAGAGAAATAAGACAGAACTCAATAAAAGCGGTGAGTTAGTGTAAGTCACGTCAGTAATCAAACTGGTAACAGAAAGGAAGCTAGCAACAAAAATACAGCAAATTATACATAATATTTTCCACATAATTATGCTTGAAATTTATATTAACATCACAGTAATGATTAATGGAAAAAGAAATGAAATGATAAAATCACTTGATTGAAAAATAGAGTAGAAAAATGTATAATAGTGATGTGCATGTTTTTAAAGAAAAACACAAAGTCAAAAATGATAAAACAAAATGACTGTATTTCAAAACATAACCAAAAAATAAAATAACAAAGTAAACAGGAAAGACAAAGTATTTCACAATGGCAATGCTTGATAAAAATCTTTACATACTGAATCATCCATCATCTCTTAGGAATTTGGAACAGATTGTTACTACAAGGGGAAGTGAAAGAAACATAAAAATTAACATGAAGGAACACTAATGTTATACAAAGATGAGATGGCTTAACAGTATGTTATATAAAGATGAGAAAGATAAACATTAAGAAAACCACTTAACATTATCAATTATGTACATATTTTTATCTAATGGTCACACGGTTTTGGGAAATGGGGAACTTTGATTTCAACACTGAAGCACTTACTCCAATCAAGAGGAAATTTACTCATATAGATTTTGCATACAGTTTGGAATGGTGATTGTGTTCCATAGAAATAATTCTATTGCAGCTGAAAAATTCAAATTTACATAAGCATATTTACTACATAGGAAACTTATAGCTAATATATTAAAATAAAAGTGTAAGGCCAGGCATGGTGAACTACACCTATAATCTCAGCACTCTGGAGGCTGAGGCTGAGGCATAAGTTTGAGGCCAGCCTGGGCTATATAGTGAGTTCAAGGCCAGCCTCAACTATGTAGTGAGACCCTGCCTGAAAGAACCAAACAAAAAACAAAATAAAATAAATTTGCATCATTTTACTTATGAAAAACGCCAAAAGCTTGGTGATAAAACACCATTAAAATGGCAAATATCACTGAAGATTAAAATTGGAAGGAAAATATCATTTAAGTAAAAACTAGCTTTGAAATATCCCATGTCCTTAAATTCTTTAGAAACAAGAGTTTCAGTTAGTCTCAACTGTATCCTGTGAAGTGATAGAAACACATGCACTGCATACTTATGGAAGCACTGAGATGAAGCCCTTGTAATTCTACCACACTGTACTTCTGTAGTAACTGAGCCACCACTCCAGTCCCTAAGAATTAGTCCATCATCAACAACAAAAAAATCATTGTCATGACTAGTACACATGCTCTGCAAGGCCATCTTTTAGCTCTTTCCAAGTAGATTTGAGTCCAATTTTTCTGTGCAGCAATGATCTTCAATGGCAGTAATTTGTTAACCTGAGAGGTCTCTGAGCATTATGAAGGCTCTGTTTTAGTTTTGAAGACATGGCTGACAGAAGCAGTGGTGTCAAGTTCCTTTTCAATATACACCTGAAAGGACACAGTGGGAAAAGTTTAGAAGCTAACTTAAGATCAACAGCAAAGCCTAAGGAAGTACAACATTCATCCTTGTGGAATTTTCTAATAAATGGAAGGCTAACTGTGTCACTTTTATTAACACATTTTGCATTTTCCATGAAATTGTTTTTTCATACAATAGTGTATTTAGTATAAAACAAGCATATTGTTGATTTCGTAATTCCATTAATCAGACATTTGGTCTTTTCTTCTATTAGAAGTTACATTGTTGTGATTGGTCATAAATGAAGGATTATGTTCTCTGGATATGCATCACTATTATTTTACTAAAATATTTTCTAAAAAGACTGAGTACTGCTTCAGCTGATTGGCAGAGCATATTCCTGGCACTTATCAGGCCTTGCATTTCATCTACACAAAGATACAGAAGAGCTAATTCTAATTCTTTGTCTGAAATTTACATAGTGCCCACTGACAATCTCTGTCACAGAATTAATTTAGTGGGCCTAGGACACATCTTATCCCTAAATACCACCAAAACCACCTTACCTATGGTTCATAGGTGATATCACTCAGGATGTTATCAGCTATATGCAGTTTAGCTCCAAAAAGTCTCTCATCTTCCTCACCTGAGAAATACAGAATGCAACAGAACAATGGTAAAATGAAATCTACCATCAGGATATGTAAGTTAGGATAAAAATGGGCTGGTTGGGGATTATAAATGGAAAAGATTGGATTAAAAAATGTGCAGGCTGAACGTGGTGGCGCACGCCTGTAATCCCAGCACTCAGGAGGCTGAGGCGGGAGGATCACTGTGAGTATGAGACCAGCCTGGGCTACACAGTGAGTTCCAGGTCAGTCTGAATTACATAGTGAGTGAGACCCTGTCTCAAAAAACCAAAACCAAAGCAAAAAATACGCTTATCCACATACTTTCCACACTTTCCATTTTAACTCACATATTTGGGCACGAATGATGAAAATATGCAAGTCTTTTTCCAAATAATTTTGTTAGTAACATGTATCCTTGAAAAATCTACTTGAAATCCTCAGAAACCATTAATGACAGTAAATGAAGCACCATTCTATTCTCCCATTTATATAAAAGAGTAAGGGGGATGGAAATATAGCTCAGTAGTACAACATATATTTAATACGTATGAGTTCAAACCCGAGCATGGAAAAAATCAGGGATACTTTTCAATTTATCCCAAATGAAACACTTCCAACAACGTATTTTTTAGTAGGTATCCACAATTGGGTCCTTTTAACTAAGAAAATTTATTTCTGCACAGAATGTTTCAATTTGGGGGGGGTATCAGGTATCAACTCAGGTCCTTTCACTTGTGAGGCAGTCACCAGAACCCTCACTTAACCCTCACCAGAACCCACTCTGTGGCCCTCACTTAATTTTGTGTTGTTGTTGTTGGTACCGGAGATTGAACTCAGGTCCTTGCGCTTGCAAGGCAGGCCCCCGAACCGCTGAGCTAAATCCCCAGCCCCTTCACTTAATATTTTAACTCATCTATTTGTCAGCCAAATATACATTTGTTCAGTACTCACCAGAAATTCCATCTTCTCCTTCTTTCTAGGTAATCCAACACTCTTCGTTTTACAGTAAGACTTTGCTGCACAATTGTCTTTTAAATTGTAGCCTCTTGAGGAAACCATTCACAAGTCAATTATAAAGGCTGTTGCTATATGAATACAAGGTTGGATGTCCCAAATCAAAACTTCCCCAGTGTTGATAAAAAAATGATGAAAACGGACAAACTGTCTCTAACATTTCTTGGATTTGGGGGTTTTTTTGTTTTTGTTTTTTTTTTTTTGGTTCCGGAGATTGAAATTGGGTCCTTGCCTTGATTCTTTTAAACATTTTAAAAGCCTTATACAAACTAAAATGCAGAAAATCGCAGTACTCGTCCTTTAATGAGTATGAAAACTTTGGCATATCCTTCCACATAATTTTATATCCAAATATTCACTGTAGATGTCATGTAAATTTGTATGTTTCTTTTACTGTTTAACTCAAAATTCTCAAAGAGTAAGAAAATACCAACACTATAATACCAAGAAATAGTACGTACATGTCAAGAATGTCATTATATAACACTTTTATAACTATTAACATTTCAGTTGAAGACTAGAAGAAAGCATATGGACATATTGCTGAACAGAAAGTTAATGCTTCTTAAATTTTTAATACATAATACGCTTATACTCTACCAAAAGGATATTTCAGTATTTCAATTACATTCATGTTGAATATCTATAATCTATAGGATTTCTTTCACCAATGGATAGTTCAGACATTGACTACACATAGAAAGTTTCTTTCCTAGTAAATTTTTTATAAATATGCTAATATTCCATTTACCAATTAATTTCAAAAACTGAATATACTCTTAAACCGATGGTCTTGCCAAATTATTGCTTGAAAGATATTCTGATTTACATTGATCAATACAGAAATCTTTATTAGACATTCTCTTACTTAACATAATTGGTAGTACGTGAGTCTAATTTTCATGTGCCATAAATTATATAAAGACTTGTAACCACAGATTCTTTTGTTCTCAAAAATGTATAAACAAAAAGAAAGTTATGGTCTTTATGCTACTGCTACATTTAGATGTAATAGTATGTGTGATCTAGAAATATCTGCAAGCTAAGAAAAGTAGCAATTTGTACAATTTGTAAAATAAAAATAAAAATGAAAAGCAATAGTAAATAACAGAGAAAGGGTTAGTATTCTTAAAACAGATTATCAACATGACATTTAATACCCACATGAATGTAATAAAAATGCAAATACATTAAAATACATTTTTAAAGGTTAATTACAGCACAGCAAAGTAACAATGATTTCAGCAATCTTCTCTGAATCTGATTGTAAAAGAACAATACCATTGTTTCTTCTTTGTAAAGATAAAAATGCCCCATGTTTTTAAGAACATAATATATACAATGACCAATGTCTATCTCCCACATACAATAAACCCTATCAGTCAGAATACAGATAATCAACCTCTACCAAAACCCAGAAATATCAGAAATATTATTTTGAGACATTAAGTACAAAATTTAAAAAGCATTAGTCATTTTAACTGTATTTTACAATGAAGTATTTACAAATTTATGCCTTGTTGAGTTCCATGCATCCAGAAAATCTAGATGTTTTAAAATTGTATGTTATTTACAAACTTGTCTTGATGCTGTCACGCAGTTCAAACAGATAATACTATGTTGATTCAAAGAGGTAGAAATTTATGACATTTCCTGTAATGATTATAAAAATGTCCATGTAACACCCAATAAACAAAATATATACACAAACGACGATCTAGGGTTTTAATGTGTAAGATTGAAAATATGGGAAACCTTTCTCAAAGATGACAATTCACAGCTGAAAATACAATTTTAAATTTTCTCCTTCCCCAACCAACCAAAAAAATAACAAGCTACATAGAGCTGAAATAAACTACAGCTAACCATTTCATTTCAAAAAATTATAAAATGAAAATATGACTTATTTACAAAATTATACTTTGTGAGATTCTTCATGTCAAAAGGCTAGATGTTGAAATTATTTTCTGACTATTTACAAAGTTGTCTTGAATATTGTCATGCAACTATGGGAACACATACAGAACTTTGTATAGTTCCAAGAGGTAGTACAAAATTGCTTTAATATAATTATTTGTATCTTGAAGGTTAACTGCAAAAATCAGAAATGCATGTAAAGCAAACACACCCAAAATCGTAGAAGGCCAAATTATTTTTCTTATAATTTTGTAGTCTTAAAATGGAATTTATATTTGACACAATGTAAACTACTCCTCCATGGGAATGGAGTAAAAGGACACTGCCTTGTTATTTTCTCTTCTAACACTCAAAGGAAGAAGTGATAAATGCTATATATCTCCATGTGCCTCTTTCTTTTTGGAGCAGTACTGAGGAGTTATCCAAGGGCCTGCAGACCAAGCTACATCCCCCTTTTTTAGTTTTTATTTTGAGAAAGGGTTTTGTTAAGTTGCCCAGCTAGGTTATTCCTGGCTCAGCCTCCTGAGTGCTGGAATCAAAGGCCTGTGCCACCATATTGGTTCTATGAGTCTATTTGTGAATGATATGTTTAAATGCCATATTAATTGCAAAAGACAATGGTATGAGAAGCAGCCTATTTACAAAATTATAATTTGTGCAACTCAATGCATCTAGAAATTCTAGACATTAAATTCTTGAAATTACTTTTGCCTGTTACTTACAAAGTTGTATTGCTTTTTGTCATACAAGAGATGAATACAGAACCACATAATTTAAGACATGTCCACTGAGAAAAAATGGCATTAAATGTTAGTGTAGACATAAAACATTGCTATCTATTACATAAGTACATGATAATTTAAGTAAAATGGGCACAATGTCATGATTATAACCCAATTTTACATGCAAGTCAAAAGGTGTGTTAAAAAAAAAAACATTGTCTTTCTCCATAATATGACAGCACACTGTATATACAAATACCAAAAATATAAGCTGAAAGATATATACTAAGCCAGCTTCTTAAATACTATGGAATTTTTTTAAAAAAAACAGCATTTTTATAATATTTTAACTAAAAGTCACATAATGTAACAGAAAATTCTAAACAGTCTACAACTGACATACTTGCACACCACTAGCAGGTGAAGAAAATTCTTTATAAAAACCAAATAAGGAAAACCTAACCACTGGTTTTTAATTCTTCTACTGGCAAAAGATATTCTAAAGTTTTACATTCTTAAAATTGTGTATGTGGCAGGGAAAGGGAAGCTCAGACATTCTAAAGAAACCTGGTCATCAACCATAAAGCAGTAAAATACTCTACAGTTCAGTCCTAGCAAATGAAAACTGAACAAACACTGGAAGAGACTAATCAGCAATTAGACAGATATTTAAAAATTATATAAATTTGTAAATATAAATGGGGGTTTTCTATATTTTGATGAATATCTAATTTGAAAAAGATTCAAGGAACCAAAAATAAAAAACTCCGTAAAACAAAAACAACTCATTAAGCTTATTTTATGAATAACTTTATACCTTACTTTTCAATAAAAAGGAAGCATGGTGGCTTCGCTTGTACAAGTCTTGCCTTAAAAAACTATGCCCAATATTTGCAAATACAAAATACCTTATAAATGCTATTTATCAGATGTACATAATATACAAACCCCAAATAAACATGGCATACCATCAACATACCAAGATTCCATATTTGTCTATTATTCACAAATCATGAGTATTAAAAATCCTTATGCAGATATTATAAAACAAACAGTACTATCTATCACATTTTCAGCAAGTGTTGCCAAAGAGTACCTTGATGCTGTTTTGTAAGTAGAGATAGGTACATGTGCATACGACTAAACCTGTATGTATACAGCCTAATTACATACCATATGCAGTGCATGTTCACTGATATACACAGGTGATCTGTATTTAGGTAAATGCAGATAGCTACTTTGATTTACAAAATAATGGTGTCATTTACATAGCATTAGGTGTCCCACTGAGCAACCCATGATCTCAAGTTTAATAATCCACTGTCAGCATCCTCTAATAATAGATATTTTAAAATAAAAAAATTATTCACTTATTGAAAGTTAAATTCTACTGACAGATGGATATTTTTCTAGCCTATCCTAGGAGAAAACGTGGAGATTTTTCTCTAGTCTACTTATATATAAAACACAACTAGAAACTAAAAAAAAATTTAAACAGCGAGCCTTGGTGGCGATAATACCTGTGTTCCAGAAGCTGAGGCAGGAGGATCTAAATGTGGAGTCCAGCATGGGCTACACAGTGAATTCTACACCATTCTGAATTAAAAAAAACGAGATGCTGGGCTGGGGATTTAGCTCAGTGGTTTCGCTGCTTGTCCCCCAATTGCAAGGTCCTGAGTTCAATCCCAGGTACCAAAAATAAAACATATATACCTGTATTTAGATGGATATGTAGTACTTCCACATATATTCCTACAATATATACTACAACCTAAAAATTAAAATCAACGATCCAAGGAACACTTCACTTTCAGCAAAAAATACTGGTTCTAAAATGAGAACCAAGACCTGTCATGTAAAGGTACAAGATCCCAATAATAAATGTAACTATACTGTATACCTAAAATGTACCAATAAACTAAAAAAGAAAAAAATATATTGGTTCTATCTTAATAGTTTTAGTTATGTGCAATTATAAAGCACTCTATATAACCAATTATATTAAATTACTTTTGAAGTTATTTAAGGAGTTAATATTCAATGGCCAGTTTTTTCTACTCCAACAGCAAAGGGAAATTGTATAACTTAGGAAGTAAAGCAAAAAACAATGGAAAAATAGTATCTGCTCACAGGCCCAGTCTTCTAAACTCTTAAAGTTTGTTTAATACAGTGTAGTTTTGAAATTCCTTTGAGCAATCAAAAAACTCATAATGAATCACTCTTAAGGGCAGTAATTTTTTTCATGTTAAAATTTATCAACAGTCTTTTTGTCTAACATATACAGAATAATCAATGCTAAGGCCCACCTGATCCTGAATATGCTATTTTTTGGTTAAACTGGCATCTTCTGCAATTTTATCATTAAAAAAATCTTGTATTGGAATTGAATGAAAAATCCATTGACATTCAAATGATGTGAACCTTAATGAAAAGTTTCATGTATAACCACTGTACACTTAAAAGTATCCCAGGAAAATAGCAAGACTACCAAAAAAAATTTTTTCAAATTACAGCATTCAGAAATATTCTAATTCTGTAACCATGTATTTTCCATATACATTAGGAAACTAAAGGTTAGCAATAGATTTTAACAAACGAATGTTCAGCCATCCCCATGTAAGAAAATGGCACAAGGTGATTATATATATACATAATTCTCACAATGGATTCTCAAATATCTTAATGCCTTGAGATTAACAAAATGCTTTTCTGTCTCATGGTACTGCAGTGATTTAGTAAAATACGAATATAAACTTGAATTCCATTATAAAATATTTCAGAAGCCAATTTTTATCCAAAATGTTTTTATAAAATTCCCTAGAAAACTAGCTATTTTGCACAGGAACGATTTTAATATATTGATTTTGGAAATCTAGAGAATAGGTTATGCTAACTCAATTTCTGGAACAATTAAATGAATAAAAATAAATGAATGAAACTACAATTTCATTTTCTTTTTTAAACAGTTAAATAAAAAATTCATATGCATCACTCGATGATCATCATATATTTCTACCTAAATACTGATACAAATTTTCTCACATATTCACATATACAGAAAATTCATGAAACATAAGGGATTTGAAACAAAGGATTTACAATCACAGCACAAAAATTAATTTTGCTTTTGCATACAAATGTCACATACACATCGCTTTTAAGTGCTAAAACTTACAAAGGGTTAAGTGGATAACCCATGGCATTAAAATCCAGTATTCTTGGTTTTTTTGCTCTTCTCAAATCCAAAGCTTATTCAATGAAATGTAAAAACTTAAAAAGACTGTTAAGAATTTGAGAGCAGTGCTGATCTATTATGAGGCTCTGTATCTGAAGCTTTTAGCTGAAGAAATGTTTTCCCTTTTTTTGTTACCAGAGATAGAACTCAGGACCCTGTACTTCTGAGGCAGGTGGCACCACTGAGGTACATTCCCCAACCTCCTTTTCTACCCGCATATTTCTGCAGAAGTGTTATCTCTTATGCATCAATCACTCAATGATCATCATATATTTCTACCTAATAATTACTGATACAAATTTTCTCACATATTCACATAAATTATATACAGAAAATTCATGAAACATAAGGGATTTGAAACATACAGGATTTACAATCACAGTACAAAAATTAATTTTGCTTTTGCATACAAATGTCACATACACATCGCTTTTAAGTGCTAAAACTTACAAAGGGTTAAGTGGATAACCCATGGCATTAAAATCCAGTATTCTTGGTTTTTTTGCTCTTCTCAAATCCAAAGCTTATTCAATGAAATGTAAAAACTTAAAAAGACTGTTAAGAATTTGAGAGCAGTGCTGATCTATTATGAGGCTCTGTATCTGAAGCTTTTAGCTGAAGAAATGTTTTCCCTTTTTTTGTTACCAGAGATAGAACTCAGGACCCTGTACTTCTGAGGCAGGTGGCACCACTGAGGTACATTCCCCAACCTCCTTTTCTACCCGCATATTTCTGCAGAAGTGTTATCTCTTATGCATCAATCACTCAATGATCATCATATATTTCTACCTAATAATTACTGATACAAATTTTCTCACATATTCACATAAATTATATACAGAAAATTCATGAAACATAAGGGATTTGAAACATACAGGATTTACAATCACAGTACAAAAATTAATTTTGCTTTTGCATACAAATGTCACATACACATCGCTTTTAAGTGCTAAAACTTACAAAGGGTTAAGTGGATAACCCATGGCATTAAAATCCAGTATTCTTGGTTTTTTTGCTTTTCTCAAATCCAAAGCTTATTCAATGAAATGTAAAAAATTAAAAAGGCTGTTAAGAATTTGAGAGCAGTACTGATCTATTATGAGGCTCTGTATTTTTTTTTTTTTTTTGGTACCAGAGATCAAACTCAGGACCCTGTACTTCTGAGGCAGGTGGCACCACTGAGGTAAATTCCCCAACCTCCTTTTCTACCCACATTATTTCTGCAGAAGTGTTATCTCTTTTGAGTTTATATAGCCTAGCACAAATTTTCCAACTCAATAAATCAACAGATATCTTTGATGTACTTTCCAAGCAGTGTTTACGGTGTAGTTTTGGGAAGATGCTTGCATTCATGTTGTGGTCCTGATGTGGCTGGAACAGGAAATTAACAAAGGAGATTTCCTACAGAAGATTCCAAGCCTGGAACCCTTTTCACCAGCTCTTCAGCCAAAGTTTAGACTTCCCCAACGGTCCAGAAATAAAAGGTACTCTAAAAGTTCCAGGACAGTTTACAAAATACAAATTTATCAATTACATGGCAGCCACTCAGGATATGGTTCTGGGTGACCTATGTGAATGGAGCAACTGGTCACAAATCTTCCCTAAATTCTCTTGACTTGTTAATTTATGTTTCCTATCTGTTCAGATTTCTGGATATCTTAAGGACCAGAGGATTAGGTTGAAGGTATGCTTCAAAGGGAATGGATCAAAATGTCCAGTGCCTCAAAATGGAAGACATCCAGTTTTTCCTGTCACAAAAGATGCTCTAAGTATTACCAGTATGTAATTTGTCTTCTTTTTTTAACACACATTGCAGATTTGTGAAGAGAACATGATGTTCATCATCTTCTTAAAAGCTGTTCTATAAGATGCATGAATTAAAGTATCTGAGCTAAAAGCAAGGGAACTGGTTAAAAATTTAGAAATAGTTTATAGTTGACCAAATCTTTCAGCTGGAGATACGGTGGGAGCACAGTCACATTCTGTTTCGAGGAGAAAACTCCATAACCATCTTGTTTTAGCCTCATTATAAAGATGAGAGGCAGTTTCTTGTCTCTTAGCTGGCATCTTTCTAAATCCCTTCAGAATTCACAGCAAAATACAACATTTAAAATAAGTGTTTGAGGGTAAATGAGTCCATGATATTTACATTATTTGTCCAGGTTATTTTGTTTTTGAATTATCTGTTCAGCTTTTTTCCACTTTTAATTTTTCAATCTCTTCTTTTAACTGACATGTGGATCATAGTTATGTCACATATTCACTATAGTAATCACAAGAATAACCAAGTATTTTCCAGCTCAAACAATGCTAACTGCATCCTAACTCGCTCTTACTCTCTTACCCGTTCCAACAGCAATACTCCCTTAATATCTAAGAATTTAGCACAAAGTGCAAGTGCACACACATTTTTGTTTTTCTGACCTAGGTTTATTATCTAGTGAGCTAGCCTGAAGCAATGGAGGCATGCAATAAAAGCCTCAACCTTAAATATCACTTTTATCTTCCCTTTTTGTGAAATGCCACCAAAACCTGCTAATGTTACTAGTTACCAGTAATTTATGAAATTTGTAACTTACTTTGAAGCATTTCTCATTCAAAATGGTTTAGTTATGATTAATTTAATAGTTTGAATCAAGTCAAATTTAGTAAACCTTGAAACTAGAATTGAACTCGGGAGGCTGAGGCAGGAAGCTTGCAATGTGGACTACATAGCACGACCTTGCAATAAACGAAGAGACAGACAGATATAGATAAAATGAATTAACACACAAAGGAGTATGTGAACCAAAAACTATCAATGGTTCTTTCTATAATACAACAAACACCCTAAAGTCAAAGAATTCACATCAACAGTACAATTCAACAGGAACTACACACTCACTCCGTTCACACTTTTTTTTTTTTTTTTTGGTACTAGGGATCTGAACTTGGGACCTTGAGCTTGCAAGGCAGCTGTTGGAACCACTGGTAGAAATCCCTAGGTCATAACTATATATATATATATATTTTGTTACTGGGGATCTAACTCAAGTCCTTAAACTTGCAAGGCAGTCACCAGAACCACTGAGCTAAATCCCCAGACCCTAACTATATACTTCTAATGTAACCAGCTAACACTACAACTCACAAGCACTACACACATACTCCTTTCTCACAAAACTGTATACTTCCAGTGTAACCAGGTTAACAGTTACTGCATTCACTCCTTTTCTCACGTAAACCACACTTCTAATGTACCCAGGTAATACTGTAACTCACAAGCACCACACTTATTCCTTTCTCACATAACTGCACACTTCTTATGTAACAAGGTCAACAGTTAATACACATTCTTTTCTCCTGTGAACTACACACTTCTAACGTGACCAGGTAATACTACAGTTCAACAGGAATTGCACTCACTCCTCTCACATAACTGCACACTTCTAGTGTAACCAGGTGAACAGGCACAACGCTCACTCCTTTCTCACATAGCTGCACTTCTGTAAACAGGTACTACGCTCGCTCCTTTCTCATGTAAACTACACACTTCTAATGTAACCAGGTAACAGTACACTCAACAAGCACTACATTCACTCCTTTCTCACAGAACTGCACACTGCTTATGTAACTAGGTCAACAGGTAATACACTCGCTCCTTTCTCATGTAAACTACACACTTCTAATGTAACCAGCTAATGCTACAGTTCAACAGAAAATGCACTCACTCCTCTCACATAACTGCACACTTCTAATGTAACCAGGTGAACAGGCACTACACTCACGCCTTTCTCACGTAATTGCACACTCCTCATGTAAACAGGTAACACCACAGTTAAACACGAACTGCACTCACTGCTTTCTCACAGAACTACACACTTCTAATGTAACCAGGTTAGCAGGAAGGGTGGCTCATTTCTCTCAATTTAAATGCTTCAGCTAGGGGTGGTAGTACACGCCTGTCTCAGAATTCAGAAGGCTGAGACAGGTGGATCAAGCCCAGTCTGAACTGCATAGTGAGACCCCTGTTTCTAAAACAAAAAAACTAAAGAGATATTCTAGCACTCACTAGATGAATCAAACATTCACAGGAGACCACAAATACATTAATATTTCTTGCAACAAAACAAAGATTCAACAAAGTAACAAACTAAAAAAGGGTCATCTATCTTTTAAATGAATGTTTTCTCTAAATCTCAACAGGTTTTCATGGCAGTCTAGTGACCTGTCATCATCACAATATTAACACCCATCATTAATTACTAGTCACATACTTATACACAAACATATAACACTCATGTGCACTAAGATAGCTAACTGAGAATAATACCTTAATATATATACAATTGTCAGCAGGGCACTCAGGTAACACAACTGTAATCCCAGCACTCTGGGAGGCAGAAGCAAGATCACAAGTAAGATGGAGGAAAGCCTGGGTTAACTTAGCAGGGCTCTGTCTCTAAATAAATTAATTAATTAATTAACAAATGGATAAATAAATGAATAAATTAATAAACAAACAGGCAAGCAAATAAATAACCACACTTGTTCTTAGCTAAAAGGCCAAGTAGTGATAGATACATACATAGATAAATACATAGATAGATACACAAAGACAGATAAAATAGATACATAAGGCTCTGTCTCTAAATTAATTAATAAATAAACCAATGGATAAATAAATGAATAAATTAATAAACAAACAGGCAAGCAAATAAATAACCACACTTGTTCTTAGCTAAAAGGCCAAGAAGTGATAAATAGATACATACATAGATAAATAGATACAAAGATAGATACATAAAGACAGATAAGATAGATACATACATAAATAGATACATACATACATACATACATAAAGTAAAAACAGCTAGGGATATAGTAGAGTGTTAAGGCCCTAGTTTTAATCCTTAGTATAGAAAGACAGGAATAAACTGTCCAAATCATACCTTTTAAACAAGCTTTATCTAAATAAACTATTTGAGCATCTAATTGTAGAACGTCTTTCCTAAATAACAAAAGAATATATCATTCATGCAAGAAAAAGTAAATATTATAATAGAATATGCAATGAGAGACATGATTAAAAAATGCTTGGTATTTAATAAGTTATTTCAACTCCTGGGCTTAGCACTGACAACTGCAAAATGCCAATTTCCCTCTTTAACTGTATAGAGTCCAAATTTTTTAGTCCATTTGAGTAGGATACAAAATATCATTAAGTCATCAAGAGGAGAATCAGAACATAACTATAATTCTGCTAGAAATATTAAGACTTATCTGTAGATCAAAGCATACCTTACCAACAATCTAGCAATTTCATTCAATGTGATAAAAATGGGGAAGCTGTCTCAATGCCCAGGAATATGCTCATGAAAGTGTCAAAAAGCGCAAACTGGATGATGTCAGTATCTGAGAAAAATGCATGATAGCTTCTGGGTTTTTCCTCTCTCGAATTCACTGTTTGAAATGAACAGGGAAAAAGCAAAGGTAAGATCTGTCAATATTATCAATGTAGAAGTGACACTATGAAAGGAAGCTTTACTAATCTATATCCAACTTTGCTGTAATGAAAAATCTCTAACTCCATTCCCCTTAAGGTACTGATGAGAAAAACCTTGTCAAAAATTGACACACCTGTGTCCTGCATACTTAAATTGACACTGGCTAGACTTCAGAGTAATCATATCGAGACTCATTTCATTCACTCTCAGTACACCCAGCTCATCATTAGCCCAGCCAAGGTCCTCCACAAGGTTTTCCCAACAAGTAGCACTAAAAAGGAAGGGAACAGAGGTGTGCACTGGTGTCAAAAGGTGTGCTCAGCAAACAGAAGAACCTGTGTTATAATACTCACAATCAATAATAAGAATAGGAGTAAGGAGGAAGAGTAGAATTTATTATTAATCAATTTAGGCGTTCAGAATATAGTTAATTACCACTAAAATATTCCATAGTTAAGTATAAATAAGTCAATATAGAATAAATAGAATAGTGAAACAAAATCAAGATATGCCAAACACAATAGAAAGTTGAACATCTTTTTTTTTTGGTTTTTGGTTTTTGGTTTTTTGAGACAGCATCTCACTATGTAGTTGAGACTGACCTGAAACTATGTAGCCCAGGCTGGTCTTGAACACACAGCGATCCTCCTGCCTCAGCCTCCTGCGTGCTGGGATTACAAGCATGCACCACCATGCCAGGCTAAAACAAAATCATCTTGAAGGAGGCCTTCACCAACTTCTAATCTTTGATAAAGGACTAAAGTGCCCAGTAACTACCTACATTTTATGAAGAATTCTTTCATATAGGAAAGTGAGTTTATTCAAAATTACCATATGTGTAGCAGATAAACCTAAGTCCTTCACCAAAACACCTAGTCTTTCTAGATTAGTTTACAAAGCTCGTATTTTTTCTATAGTAGTTTACTAATTATACTAAAAGTACAGGTGGTAAAAAGTACATATTCTACTTTTGTAGTATCCATATTATACATGTAGTTCAGTTCTAATCCACAAAAAAATGTATTTTTTTTTTGTAATAGGGACTGAACTTGGAACCTCATGCTTGCAAAACAGGTACAGTGCCACTGAACTAAATCCCTGGCTGACTGTTCACTTTTTAAGGGACACTAAGTTGAACTGCAGGTCTTCACAGTGTGATACATACCCAGTTCTTTATTTTTTGTTATGAAACAGAAATTTATTACATTACTACATTGCCCACACAAGGCTGGAATTTTTGGCTCTGCTACAATGGTCTCTTCAAGTTAATACCTAACTCTGGGATGACATAAGGTGCCCTGAGTTACTAACTGTTCACCCATGTTTTCCCCTCCCTTCCTCCTATTTCCTAGTATACATCTATATTCATGTGAATGACCCTGCAAAGGACTCTAGGTATTCAAATCAAATGGCAAGTTGCATGTCTCTCATTTTAAATCAAACACTAAAAATGACTAATCTCACGTAAAATATCAAAAAATGAGCTGGGGATTTGGCTCAGTGGTTCCACCGTCTACCTCACAAGCACAAGGACCCTAGTTCGATCCCTGGTACCAAAAAAAAAAAAAAAAAAAAAAAAAAAAAAGAGAGAGAGAGAGAGAGAGACAAATTGACCCTAGGCCCTTCATACCAGTCAAGTATTGATTGCAAAGGAAAAGCACACAAAGAAAATTAGAAGGCCTCCCCCGAGGAACACACAAATGCTGAAGCAGAAGAGATTTATCAGTCATATGGAGGATGTATTGAGGAGGGGTCTGGAGAGATCAAACCAGTCAACTAATTCCCTTAATACCTAAACTAAACCCAGAGCAAGTCCCTATTTCTCTACAGTCCTGTGAAGACTGAGAGAAGAAAGCTTCAGAAAAAATTTCAAGCTAGCAAAAGTTGGTTCATAAGGTTTAAGGAAGAAGTCGTCATTGTAAGAGTCCTAGGTGAACGAAGAAGCAGCTGATACACATGGCACTAAGTTATCCAGAATATCTAGTAGCTAAGATAACTAAGAAATGCGGCTACACTTGGCAGATTGCCAATGCAGAAAATATGTTCTCTAAGACTTTCACAGTTTGACAAAAGTCAATGCTTTGCATCAATGCTTCAATGGTCAAGCTCATCTCTTCTGTCAGCAGTGAGAGGTAAAAACTGTTCATTTCTCACTCGGAACATTCTAGGGCCCTTAGGAATTCCACTCTTTCTGTACTCTACAAATAAAACTACATGGCACTGTGCATTTACAATATCACTTAAAATATGACTGTTTTAAATTCTGTTAACACCTGTTCCTACTTGGTGACAATGCACCCTGTCACATAAGATCCCTGGTGCAGCTGTGTAATGAGATGAATGCCTTCCTGACATCTAACATGACATCCATTCTGCAGCCCCGGGATGAGGAAATAATTTAAACTTTCAAGGTGTATTATTTGAGAAATACATTTATAAATCTATACAAGCCATAAGGATCCTTTGGTTTACCTTGGCAAAGTAAACTGAACTTTCTAGAAAGGATTTGCCATTCTAAGATGCTATTAAAAAACATTCATATTGGGCCAGGGATTTAGCTCAGCAGTTCGGTGGCCTACCAAAAAAAAAAAGCCCTCATATTTCAAGTGACAATGGAGGTCAGGGATTTAGTTCAGTGGCACAGTGAATGCATGATAAGCACAAGGTCCTGAGTCGATTCCTGTTACCACTGCCAAGATCAAGTGACAATGGTCAAAGCATTCAATAGTTTAGAATACTGATTTCAACCCCTTACAAATGAGTCAAGGCATTCAAGGGTTCAGAGGGAGAAACCAAATGTAGATGTTGTTGAAAATCCAAGAATCAAAATCAGAGCCCGATTATGGAGCAATCACATCACAAAACTTTAATTGATGTGGAGCTGCTTCATATGGGCGCAGAAAGAAAGTGGAGTCTTGAAGCTGAATCTACCCCTGGGGAAAATGCTGTGATTATCAATTAAATGACAGCAATGGATTTTTCAGTATTCTGTAATCCTAGCTGAGGAAGCAGTCACAGAATTGGTTCCAATTTTCAATGAAGCCCTACTGCAGGTAAGGTAGAATGATGCCAACTAGAATCGTATGATCCAAATAAATCATTTGGAAAAGGAAGAGTTAATTAATGCTGAAAATCTCTTATTCCGTAAAAATTTCCAGAGTTTCCCACTTTCAGTGACCAGTGCTCCTGTACTCAAGTATGACAAGCACACCGCCCACCAGTGAAGACATGCAGTTACTTAACTGTGAAAGGATCATCAGAATTGGTAATTAATGAACACCCTGATTTACAGATGAGTGGCCTTTTCACATTTAAGACAGCGGTGTGGTCTCACCTTTGTGATATTTGCTTTACTACCTTAGTCTGGAACTGAACACAATTTCCAGATATATGCCTGTACCTTAAGAACACAGGATTCTAATAAACCTGATGATGTTCAACATGAAGGACTGTTAGAACTATTTTTATCTTGTCTGACACCCCTACATGGTTAAAGACCACCTCAACCCTTCATCAGCACACGCATCTAGACTTCTGCTACCTTGCATAGAAACAGCAATGTGTCCTTGGACTTTTATGTCAAAAAATTTTTTACCTTAAAAAAAGAGCTTCCAGGGACCGGGGATTTAGCTCAGCAGTTCAGTGTGCTGCCTCGCAAAGCACAAGGACCCGATTTCGATCCCCAGTACCAAAAAAAAAACAAAAAAAAAAACGCTTCCAGCAGTCGGGATTTGGCTCAGTGGCTCTGCTGCTTG